AATTTTTGTTCTATTATACATAAGGTCATTATGAGTCAAGTGAGTGGATAGCACCTAACAACACAATGTATCTTAAATTAATCCCTTACAAGCTACAAAAACGTACAGATTAGGAAAGATCTTTTAGAAATGGAAGAAGAGTGATGCCAAGCCACATGAAGATTGCCTAGGAGCAGATACTCAGAAGAGATGACTTTCCTCCACAGCCAAAAGAGAGCCTTCCCAAGAGCTGCCATCCTGAGTTCAAATTTTGGGCCTCATAAATTATGAGCAAGTTTCTGTTTGTTAAAACTATACACTAGTGGCATTTCTGTTACAGCAGTGCTAGATATCTAAGTCAAGTAATGAAAAATAAAGTAAAATAAAAACATTTCAAACAAAAAAAATTTGTTGCTGGGAGAGCAAATTAAAATACTGGAGATAAAGAATGAGAGAGATTACATAACAGTAAAAAGAATAATCCATCAACAGGAACTGCAACCCTAAATCTGTTTGCACAACCAATTGAGCTCAAAATATATGAAATAGAAAGCTAATAAAATTAAAGAGTGCATGTTGGGGAGTGAGGAGGTCACGGTGAGATAGCTATGAGAATGGATGTGTAAGTGCCAGAGCACAGCTGGCAGTGGCTGTCCTGGCTGTTGCCACCCTGTTGATGCGACCACTTTCTGATCATGTGTAGCCATTGCTGCTGTCACTGCCAGGAGCCTGTGAATGCCTTGGACCTGTGTGAGAGCAGAACAGCTTCAGAAGGTACTGCCCGTGCTGGGAGAGAAAGACTGTGCTGCACAGCTGCTGGGTAGGTGAATGAAGCCAGACAGAGGTGGAGATGCTATGCAGACAGGGATGTTCCCTGGTGTCCTACTACTCATTCACTCTTGGAGTTTGAGGTCTTTAAAACTATTTGGGTGGAAAATAAACAAATTGAAAGCTGCTTTCCCTTTTTAAAAAAAAGTACCTTGTGGAACCAAGGATGTTGCCTGAACAGACATTAAGCAATGTATACCTAAACATTTCTTTCCCAAACATTTAAGGAACATTTTCCAACATAGATCATATGCTGATTCATAAAACAAACCTTAGCAGATTTGTAAGAATTAAAATCATACAGAGTGTATTCTCTAAACAATAAAATCAAGCTAGAAATTGTTAACAAAAAGATAGCATAAGATCTCCAAACACTTGGAATTTAAACAACAGACTCTAAATAAATGGATCAAAGCTGTTCAAACCCACCATTGACTCCTGGGAAACCCTATACAGCATTGCTATGAATCGGAACTGACTCATTGGCACTTAAGTTGTTAATATCTTATCGTGCTGTTGTTGTTGAACAACAACAGCACGATAAGATATTGAATGGCACAGAAAGTGTCAAGAAGATGGAAGGGAATACACAGAGTCACTAAACCAAAAAAAATTGGTTGCGGTTCAGCCACTTCAGAACATAGCATATGACCAAGAACCAATGCTAACTGAAGGGAGAACTAGCCATGCTACACTGAAGGTATTCGTGAAGAACAAGCTCCAGGAATGTTGGCATACCAAATGAGATGTTTCAACAAACAATTGTAACTCTGGAAGTGCTCATTTGTTTATGCCAAGAAATTTGGAAGACATACCTAGCCAATCAACTGGAAGATACCAGGTGTGTGCTCATCTCGAAGAAAAGTGAATAAGCAAAGTGCAGAAATTATCAAACGATGTCATTAATATCACACTCAAGTAAAATTTTATTGAAGATATTTCAAAAACTATTTCAGCAGTGTATCATCACGGAATTGCCAAAAATTCTAGCCAGATTAAGAAGAAGATATGAAATGAGAATTATCATTGCTGGTATCAGGTGCATCTTGTCTGAAAGCTGAGAAAATCAAGAAGGTGTTTACTTGTGTTTTATTGACTGTGCCAAAATGAAAATTACAACATTATGGGTAACATTGTGAAGAATGAGATTCCAGAACATTTAGTTGTGTTCAAGCTGAACCTGAGGCAGTATGTCCAACAGGATAGGGAGTTACTGTGATGTTTAAATCAGGAAAATGTCTGCATCAACGCTATCTTTTCATCATACTTATTTGATCTATATGCTGAACAAATAATCTGAAAAACTGGATTATATGAAGAAAAATGCACCATCAGAATTGAAGGAAGACTCTCAGTAACAACCTGCGATATGAAGATGACTCCACTTTTTTTGCTCAAAATGTTTATGAATTGGAACACTTACTAATGAAACTCAGAGACTACAACATTCAGTGTGGATTATACCTCATCACAAAGCAAAAATCTCTACAGAACCAATAAGCAACATCACAATAAACCAAGAAAATACTGAAGAAATTAAGGATTTAATTTTACTTGGCTCCTCAATCAATGCCCATGGAAGCAGCAGTTAAGTAATCAAGCCATATGTAATATTGGGCAAAACTGCTGCAAAAAACATCTTTAAAAACTTAAAAAGATGTTACTTTGAGTATTAAACTGTGTCTGAACCAATCCATAGTATGTTCAGTATCTCATATAAATGAAAAAGCTGGACAATGAGTAAGGAAGACCAAAGAAGTCATCCATTTGAATTATGGTGAAGAATATTAAATATACCATGGATTGCCAAAAGAATGAAAAAAATCTGTCTTGGAATAAGTACAACCAGTATGTTCTTTAGAAGGGAGGTTGGTTATTAGACTAATCTCACATATGCAAACATGTTATCAGGAGGGCCCATGCTCATGAGGACGTTATACTTGGTAAGGAGAGGGTTGTTAAAAATAGAAGGCCATCAACAAGGTAGATTGATATAGTGACTGTAATAGTGGGTTCAGACATAGCATTAATTATGAGGATGGCACAGAATTGGGCAGTATTTTATTCTATTGTACATAGGGTTGCTATGTGTCAAAGCCAACTCAATGGCCCCTTTCAGCAACTAAATCAGAAAACCAAACCTGTTGCCACTGAGTTGATTCCCACTCATAACAACCCTGTATATGGTTTCTGAGATTGTAAATCTTTACAGGAGCAGTAAGTCTCATGTTTATGTTTGGTGGGTTTGAACTGCTGGCCTTGTGGTCAACAGTGCAGTGTTGATTCTACAGCGCCACCAAGGCTTCTCTTATCAACATATATGTATTCATACGTATGCATAGAACGAAATTTGGAAGTGAATGTCATCAAACTAAAATTTCTCTGTGAAAGCATTATGTTTGATGTATATTTTCTTTATACGTTTTCTACAGTGAACTTTCCTGTGATGAGAGAAAACTTTATATAAGTAAGATTTGGATTTTTATTTATGAAAACTGATTTGTAATTGAAATGTTCAAAGCAAAAATAGGTGGAAAAAGTCCATTTGAATTTCGAATTAGGAAGACATTGTTGACTCTTCAGAGAAAAGTTTCCAAGACATGATGGGATCAGAAACCAGTTTGCAGTAGGTTAAAAATATAAATAGAAAGTAGGAAAATGTAGACAATGAATACGAAAAGTACACTTTCAACGTGTAGATAAAAGGGTAGTATATGTGGGCAACACGGAATTGGGATTGAAATGACTTTTTTTAGTTGAGAAGAATTTGAAGCATGCTTCTGTGCTGAAGGAAGAGAAAGTAGATAATTTGACAATCTGATGCTTTTATTGAATTATGTTAATTAATTTCTGATACAAACATGGATTACTGTTGTAGTGCTGTCAGATCAGCACTGGACTATGAACCACAAGGCCAGCAGTTCAAACCCACCAGCTCCTTCTCAGAAACCCTATACAGGGTCACTATGAGTCAGAACTGACTCGATGGCACTTTACAACATCAATAAGGACATGCAATGGATCCTTATTATTCATGGTAATTATATTCTGTAGAGGTGCCACAAACAGTAAATTAGTGAATACGAAACTTGTTTCTAGGGGGAATGCAGGGTTAGATTCCTTTACTCTCTTTTTTATAACATTCCCATTAACCAATTGGTATATAATGTTGTTTTATGTTTGTTTCTGTTTAAATATACCTTATTTAAATATCTATTTATTCATTAATGTTGAGCTTATAGTCAACAGCTCTAAAATTCATGCCTGGCGGAAACTTATCTTAGCACACATAATTTTCTTCCCTAAAGTAGATTACAGCCTTATTGTACTTAGGAACACTAGACAGTGCTTTAGTACTATGACCAGGGTTGTTGTAAATAGTGAAAATGTCAACAGAAAGTACATAAAATACAGAAACCATAACACCAACTTGAAATCAAAAAGGGCACTGTTTACAGTAGGAGAGTTGAAAAAAGGCAGGCCATTACTTTGTTCAGGCTCAGTTGAGAGCATGCACATTGGGTGAATCAGATTGTTGCTGTATGCATGTCTGCAAGTGCCCATGAATGCTCTGCACGTATTGATGTTAGGGTTACAAATAAATTTAGCAGCTATGCAAATTTGCAAATACAGAATTTACAAATAATGAGACTAACGTTTGTGATAAACTGTGTTCAAAATGAGACAGTTTGTGATGGGCAATGATCATTTGTAGTATAGCAGCAGGACTTGCTGAGTGTAAAGAGTTTGAATTCAATCTTATAGTTAATATACAATGCATTTATTGAGTTGATAAGCAGTGAGCTCAGATTTTATTTTTTGTATATTTAGATATAAACAAATATGTGAGTGGATTGGTTTTATAGAGGAAAGTTTTTTATTTGAGGATTAGCTAACCTCCAAAGTAGTTTGAAAAACTTGTTTACTTGAAAGCTTAGTAAAAACATAGCTGGTCTGTGTTTTAAATAATTATGTTTTGGGTTTAATTGCACCCTTTTGTTTTCACTGAATATATTTGTTTTCACTGAAATCATTACATTGATTTGAAAAAAGGATAGATTTTGTTATCAGAGTATATGTGCTAGAAATGATCAGTTTTTGCCCAAAGAAATAAAGTGGCACCTGGTATTCCTAATTAAGATGATGATGTAGCTTTAGTCATTCTTAAACTTAGTACATTAAATGATAAACAGGGAATCCTGCAAAACCTGGCAGCTATGTATGGAGGCAGGTCCAGCTCTTCAAGAGGAGGGAAGCCAAGAAACAAAGAGGAAGAGGTATGCGTCCTGCATGTTCTCTACCTCCGTCACTGCCATTTTTGAGTTCATTGCCTTCTTTTCTTGCATGGTTTAAATTCTTAACAATTATTTGAGGATTTTGTAGGTCTATAGGGGCTTGTTAATATATTTTGACTGACATACTGTACTATAACTGCTATTCAGTCTTCTCAGTTGAATTTCTTTTCGTTATGATAAATTTCAAGTATGTGCTTTTCAGAAATAGTTTGATCTGAATTAAACACTTGGAAGCTAATATAACATTTTTCATTAACCAAATTTCAAAATTTTTATTTCTTGTTTTCAGATTAACACTTTTCCTTTAAAAAAAAAATTAGCAGTAAAAATGTTGATAGTTTTTCTATTAAATTAATACCTTGCTTTTTTTCCCCCCAACTTGCAGGTTTATCTAGCAAGACTAAAACAAATAAGATTGCAGAATTTCAATGAGCGCCAACAAATTAGAGCCAAACTTCGTGGTGAAAAGGTAGGTTGAAAATCTGTTTTTATAGAAATAACTGAATTGTATTATGTAGTGCTGCAGGTTAATGCACTAAACTGCCAGGTTGGTTTGAACCACAAGGACAGCAGTTCAGATTCACCAGTCGTTCCTTGGAAACCCTATCCAGGGTCTCTGTGAGTCGGAACCAACATCACAGCACTTAACGACAACAACATATGTAACATATTAAGATTAAGCGTTAGTTCCACTAACATAAAAAGAAAAGGTGATGAAGTACAAGTGAGAGAACATAAAACTACACATATATCTCATTTATGTGACTGATAATTAATAAGACCATTTGTTTTTGAGGTATAGAGTAGAAATTAAAAATATTACCCATGTATGAATTAGAGAATGTTTTATACCATTCTCTTTCTGTCTTTTTGTCTCATTGTCTCTAAGGGGTTGTTAGTTAAGTAGTTCATTTGTTGTTATAGTAGAAAATTATCAGCATTGAGTAATTTATCATTTTCCATTTCTAGGTGTTTATTTATATTATCCTCCATACAGTTCTGTACTGATGTAGTCCTATCCTGAATAGTTTGCTTATCTATGTATTTTGTAGAAAGAAGATGAAGAAGGGAGTGAAGAGGCTGAAATGAGAAGCAGAAAGATTGAAGCATTTAAGGTATAGACTAGAAATGATAAAAACTTTTTGATTTGCTTTTAGATAAAATTGAAACTTGAGGTACAATTTAATGTTCTTGCATAATTAAATCACTTTATTATTTTACTGTAGTTTTCCTTTTCCCTTTATTTGTCACTTTGTGATTTCTGAATAATAATATTTTTCACTTTTTATATCACATATTTGGGAGTAGTAATTAGATGAAACCACAACATAAGTGCTTAAAACTATCATACACGTGACCATAAAAAGAACAAAAGTAGATGGAAAGTATACAATTTTCCACAGACTTTTTGAAGATAAATAAATGAAGCCCATATATAATAGTTATTGTTGTAAATTTTCCATTAGTATTTGCCTGTATTTGTTTTCATTCCACTATTTATTTATTGAGCACCTGCTATGAGAGTTACCTTGCATTCCTATTATGAAAGCATTTGCCACTCCCCCTATCACACTTTCCCTCCTCCTGCTTTATTCCCCCTCACACATACTTCTTTTTCAGCTAAAATGTTAAAATGTTATCTTTGTAGACCTGAAAAAAATCCTAAACCTTTCTCTCAGATAACTAATTTTGTTGATTTTTAAAAATTTTCAGTCCCAAGCAAATGCACGTGCAGCTGTACTAAAAGAACAACTAGAGCGAAAGAGAAAGGAAGCATATGAAAGAGGAAAGAAAGTGTGGGAAGAACATGTAAGATTTAGCACATACTTTTAATCTGGTTATATCAATGTTCTGATATCTCTTACGGGGTCATACAAGGATAAGTCAAAAAGTATTGCTGCAAAATCGTTGTTGTCGTTAAGTGCTGCAAAGTTAGATCTGACTCATAGCATCCCTTTATAGGGTTTCCGAGGCTATAAGTCTTTGTGGGAGCAAAAAGCCTCATCTTTCTCCGTGGAGTAGATGGTGGACTCAAACTACTGATCTTTTGGTTTGCAGTCTAGTGCTTGTCCAGCAGAGCCAAAATGTAAACTTAATGTTTTTCAACATACCCTCCATCTAAATCTATAAACTTCTGAAGGTGGTGTATTCATCTCTCTAATCCTTCCCTGATAAAGAATTCTGCACTTTTCAATTTACATCCGGTCAAAACGGATTATTTGGCAGCCTCAAGGAATTCAAATTGTGTTCCTTTGAAACACCCTTTGTCTTTTTTTAATTAAAGTTTTTATTGTAAATTGAGTAATAGTTTACATGGGAGAACATTGGTTTTGCACTTATCCTGTCGTGTTTCGTTTCATTGCAATGATTACAATCCCCTCCATGCATCATCATTCAATAGTATATTTGCTTGTATTCCCTCTGATTTTTGGATATACACAAACACACTCAGGAATAAATAATCATTTAAACAACCAAAGGGCACATTCTGCAAGGCTGCCTCCTGGCCACCAGCACACAACTTTTCTTTTTCCATGAGTCTAGACTCCTCAGCTGCTCTATCTCTCCATGTCATCATCGCTGCCTCCATCTCTGGTGTCATTGCTTCTCTGGATAGGGTTCTGCGTTCCGCTCATGCTCCTTTCCCTTGATGGTCCTAGGATCCTCTGTTCCTGCACTGTAAGATTAACTACTCCCCCCTCTATGTTACAAAACTTCTCCCATTACAATTGTGACAGTTGCAATTAGTCATGATAGCAGTTCCTCACTATTGAATCATAAGAGTCTTATCCCCATCTCCTTTCACCAGACCTGTCTAGACAAGATGAAAACTATTCAGTGGAGATTATACCTTCCCCCCGCATACTCTGAAATTAAATTCCCTCTTGAAAACTTATAAGCCATTCACTTTGTACCTATATAACTCCCCCATTTTAGGTAGCCATTGTCGAAGTTGCCCATCCCTATCAACCCTGTGTACCAAGGGGTTAGGTTGGAGACTCCTTCCCGCTTAGTTGGTATTTACAGCTACCACATAAGTATAGATCAAGTTCATCAAATTTACGCTTGTGAAACAACCTTTGTATTTTGGGAATAAAATGAACTCTGCAGGGCTAGACACAGGACTGTAGACCATCCCAGCAAAATTCTCTTAAGACAGCCCTTGCTACCCTCAAAAATTAATTAGGCGTATTGTTGTGATGGGAACAAATTCCTCAGCACAACTTTCCTGGCCTTTTTCTCATCAGTGCAGTCTTCAATTTTCTTAAAACGTCATTAAGAATTCCCCATTATTGTCATTTGAGAAAATCTTTCAAGACTGTTGTTGGTGATGGGTGTAATCGAGGCGGCTCTGACCCATATGCAAACAGAAGACAACACTGCCCAGTCCTTTACCATCCTCACAGTTATTACGCTTGAACTCATTGCAGCTGCTACTGTGCAAACCCAGCTTGTTGGGCATCTTCCTCTTTTTCACTGATCCTCCACTTTACCAAGCATAATGTCCTTCTCCAGATAATATCCCTAGTATTAGAGACAAATTATCATCATCCTACCTTCTAAGGAGCATTTGGACATTACTTCTCCCAATACAGATTTGTTTTTTCTTCTGGCAGTCCTTGGTACTTTTTATATTCTGCTCAAACACCATAACTCAAATGAATCAATTTATACTACAGTCTTCCTTATTCATTGTCTCAACTTTTGCATGCAGATGAGGCTATTGAAAATACTATGGCTTGGGTGGGTCACACCCTAGTCCTCAAACAGTTATATTTACTCTTGAACACTTTAAACAGATCTTATGCAGCAAATTTACCTAATATAATACTTGCTCCCAAGTCATTTGATTTCTCGACTGCTGTTTCCATGATTGTTGATAGTGGATTCACAGAAAATGAAGTCTTTGACAACTTTAATCTTTTCTCAGCTTATCATGTTATTGGTTCAGTTGTAAGAATTTTTGTTTTCTTTACATTGAGGTGCAACGTAGCAGTCCATTGAAATTTTCTGTCCAGCTCTTTTACTTTCTTATTTCTGCCATTCACTTTAGCATATTTACACTTTGGAGCAAGTTTCAGAGTCTCTTCTGACATCCATTTTTGTTTTTCTTTCCTGTCTTTTAAATGACATTTTGCTTTCTTCCTGTATGATGTTCCTAATGTCATCCCACAGCTCTTCTGGTTTTCTGTTGTTGAGACAGTCTTTAAATTCACGTGGAATATGCTCAAGGTCATATGTTGATTCTCATAGACTTGTTATAAATTTCTTCAGCTTCAGTCTGAACTTACATATGAACAATTTATGGTCTATTCAACAGTAGTTGTTGTTGTTGTTGTTAAGTGCCGTCGAGTCGGTTTCGACCCATAGCGACCCTGAATAGGGTTAGACCATGGCCTAATTTTGGCTGATGATATTGAGCTTTTCCACAATTTCTTCCCTCAAATGTAGTCAATTTTATTTGTATGTATTCCATCTGATGAAAAACATTTGTTTGTTTGTCATACAAATAATTGCATTTTATGTTATTTAAAAAAGATCTTTGCAGTGAATAAGTTACTGATCTTGCAAAATTCTGTCATGCTATCTCCAATATAATTTCTATCACCAAGGTCATATTTTAAAACTACTGATTCTTTCTATTTGTTTCCAACCTTTGCATTCCAATCACCAGTAATTATCAATACATCTTGACTGCCTATTTGATCAATCTCAGACTGAAGCAGTTGGTAGAATTGTTCAATTTCTTCTTCCTGGCTTTGGAGGTTGACGTGTGAATTTGAATAATAGCGCTGTTAACTGGTCTTTCTTGTAGACATATGCATATCATCATATTACAGACAGCATTGTACTTCTAGTTAGATCTTGAAATGTTCTTTTTGATGATGAAAGCAATGCCATGCCTCTTGAGTTTGTCATTCCCAGGATAGTGAACCATAGGATTGTCCGATGCACAATAGCCAGTATTAGTCCATTTCAGCTTACTAATGCCTAGGATAATGATCTTTATGCATTCTATTTAATTTTTGACAACTTCCAGTTTCCTACATTCATACAGCATACATTCCATGTTCCAATTTTTAACAGATGTTTACAGTTTTTTCTTATTTTGAGTCTTGTGCCCAATATGCAAATGAAGAACCCAGACTCTTCACTCTATTCACATTGTCATGATCCGCTCTACTTTGAGGAAACAGCTCATCCCCAGTCCTATTTTGAGTGCTTCCAACCCAAGGAGCTCATCTTCTGGCACTACATCTGACAACTTCCTCATGATATTTATGTTTTCATTTTCTGGTACTGTGTCTGACAGTGTTCTGCTGCTATTCATAAGGTTTTCAGTGGCTTAATATTCAGAAGTAGTCTTCCTCTCCTTCCTCATAGTCTGTCTTGAATTTGGAACCTCTTCTGAAACCTGCCCATCAAGGCTGAACCTGTTAGTGTATAAAATACAGGTGGAATAGCTTCCAGCATCACAGTAATGCCCAAACCACCACAGTACAACAAAATGACAGACGAGTGGTAAATACGAAGATGACCTCTTTGGAATCTCCTAAAACAGTTACCATAACCTTCTGAGCTGACATCTCTACCTTGAATTTTACTGGCCTCACAGATGGGCTAACAAAGTGACAGCAGCAGTGTGCTCAAACGTAATAACAATTGTGAGTCTGGTGCAGGACCTGGCAATGTTTTGTACTGTTATGCATAGGGTTGCTTTTAGTCGGAACCAACTCACAGTACCTAATTACAACAATGGCCAGGTAGCTTAGTAAGTCACAGCATCATTTATTGATTATAAGTCTTTCTATCATAGATTATAATGCTACATTTAAGATTATTAAATTCTTGTATGTACTAGACAAACTATTACATATATGTATCAAGGTATATATTTTTATGGTGGTGTGGTGGTGGCAGTGTGCCGTGGAGTCGGTTCCGACTCATAGCAACCCTATATAGGGTTTCCGAGGCTGTAAATCTTTACAGGAGCAGAAAGCCTCGTCTTTCTCCCATGGAACAGCTGGTAGTTTCAAACTGCTGACTGTGAGATTAGCAGCCTGAATTATAACCACTATGCTACTCTCTATACCTTTGTATCCTCTACTTTTTGTAAGTTGTGATAAAAAGGATGAATAACAATAGAAATAATGCTTCTGTCTTTAATGGAAATGTGTCAGTGCTTTTGTCCATTTTCTGTGATAAAAATAGTAAAAAGGCAGTCAGATGCCTTTTGTGTATCTTTTAGTATGATTTTGTTTCTTGGAAGTTCATCCAATGATATATTTGCATTAGGGATTTATTTTGTTTAGGGATTCAGGAAGATTTTCTTGCTATGAGTTGGAACCAACTTGACAGCACTTAACAACAACAACAACAACAATTATAAGAAAATGAGGAAAACAGTTAAACCCCTGGTAATCAGATGAAAGTCTTAAGGATTTTTCGGTAGTTCTATTTTATATGTAAAGTAGTTTTAGGTAATACCTGCTCTCATTTCTATCTCCTCTGTTACATTATTGCCTTTAGTTTCAAAAGTTAAAGTTGAGAATTCCTTTTCATCTCTTAGTCTCCCTTTTCATTCCTGAACTTCAGACACAGCATGAACAGGGTTTGAGTGCTAGTACATCACATTTTCTTTAAGAGTACCCAACAATTATCTCCTGATTCATTGGCCAAAATTTTATTTTTTCTTTCAAACTTAACCGAGGCCTGGAAAGTACTTGTGAGCCTACATATGTAGCATACATATACAGCAAATGAAAAGAATCAGCTTCTGTTCTTCTGGGGTTATATCATCAGCATAA